TTAAATAAATATATTTCTTTATTTATTTTAATATGGAAAGCTTCTGGAAATAAAAACTGTGTTTGCATTTCAAATTCAGAGTTATTATTTGAAACAGTATTAATTATATCTTAGGTTTTTTCTCTCAAATCAGAAATGCTAAATCAACTATTTTGCTGATGCCATACAATAGTAACGATATGTACCCAAAGGAAAAGTTTTCTGCTGGAGTCAGTGGAGAAAGTTCCCTTTCTTTACTGCTTCTGTGGAGCAGGCTCGGTGCCAACACATTGCACCTGTGTTTTGTAGGATACCTGTAGCTGTTCTTAGGGCCACCATTTTCTCTTGCACACAAACAGTATTCCAAGTGGCTATTAAGAATGTGAGCTGCATCTGCGTTTTTGAGAGCCTGTCCAAAACCTGTAGAGTAGAAGCAGATCAGCTTCCCAGCTGGAAAGATCTGTCCTGAGGTTCTACGTAATGGCATACAGCAGTAGCAACATGCATCCATGTACCAAATAATAGGACTTTTTTTTTTTAAAAAACATGCTCTGTATTGTGGCTAAGTAGCATATTAAAGAGAAAATTGCTACTCAGCTTTCCAACAGTCTTTCTCAGTGTTTTACCCATTTTTAAGCCCTTTATGTGAGAAACTGTTCTAATGTTTTGGAACTAGTACTTCTTGAAGTAATAGAATTTGCATCATACTACTATTAACAACAAAACAAGGTTTTGTAATTCATAGTTTTTTTAAAAAAAAGTAACTGTAATGCAATATTTGTCATAAGTTTAGCAGTGATGCCATTTTTGCAGGACATGAGATTCACGAAGTCCAATCTGGACAGTACTTCAAATTCTAAGGTATCAAGACTAAGCAATTTAAATGTACTTTTTACTAGTCGATAATGAAGTTGATGAAATCATATTTAATGTAAGGACGCTGCTATTCAAACCCTTTACATTTAGCACACTCCTTTACAGACAAGTCTAGAAAAATTCCCAAATCTATCTGGAAGATGGAAACATTATAGAATAATTACTGATTTATTCTCGTGATCAACGAAATTAATTATTTATTGTTATTATTTTTGCATCTCTAAACAAAGCAGCTGTTGTATTTTGTTTTCTAGATACTTGTACTGGATTGATTGCTGTGAGTATCCTCACATTGGCCGTGTTGGTATGGATGGCTCCAGTCAAACAGTTGTCATAGAAACACAGATATCTAGACCTATGGCTCTTACAATAGATTATGTCAACCATAGACTGTATTGGGCTGATGAAAATCATATTGAGTTTTCTGACATGGATGGATCTCATAGACACAAAGGTTGGTCAACAGCTTTTTTTTTATTTATTTGGGTTTTTATGTTTTTGATAAATTTTAAATTGAAGATGCTTTGCATGTTATCTATAATTATATAAAAATTGCACTTTAAAACATTTTTGAAACCTTTATTGATACATTTTTTCCTTGTAATCAATATTTTAAAAGGCGCTTTTCATATTCCTTCTCTGTTATGAATACGGATAATTTTTGAACATGCAGTAATAGATATTCATGGAAAAAATGTCAAATGAAAACAGAAACTCTAGGAACAGACTTGGCAAACAGAGGCTGCGCCCTGTCAATTCTGTACTCTAGTGTATATTTGCAACAGATGTTCTCGACCAAGTTACTAAGCCAGTCTAATTTGGCTGATAAAAGTGGAAGGGACATGTACTGTGTGCCATGTGTCAGAATGTGGCTAAAAGCAGCCTTTTCTCCAGTCTAAGAAAGCCTGGAAATGCCCATTAGCCTGCTCAGCACGAGTCAATAAGGAGACCAGTATTGCAAATGTAATTTGGGGCTTTCCTGGTAGATGGTTAAAATAATAACTTTTGAAATACTTATGTATTAAAGTAATCTTTATCCCTGTGTTCTGCTTCTCACCTGACAGATAATTAAAAAGCTACTATCTTTTATCTATAAAGTGTTTAAAAAAAAAAAAAAAAGTTTTACACTATGATGAATAGCTCTCATATTCCAAATGGTATAATTAAAGATCTTTCACTTTAATTCAAGTATATGAAATACTCAGTATCAGTGTGCTGGATTTTTTTTTTTTTTTTTTTTCGATGAAACTGTTACTTGAGGTCCCTTCCACAAGTTTTACCCAAACCTCAGAACTGCTGCTCTCCTGGTAAAACTTCATGCATTTGGGCTTTTTCAGGCTTTTATCTCATACTGGGTGCCTCCAGGTTTTCTCCAGACCAGAGTTCATGAAATAACTACTTTATTTTCAGATTGAAGCTTCGCTGTGAAATAAAACAAACAAACAAACAAACAAAAAGTTTTCTAGCCCTTGTATTCATGAATAGTAAGTTATAAATAGATAATGAACAATTCAATGACAGCTATGTGAGACGGTAGGTTGGAGAGGACTACAGCAATAGCTGTGAGAGCTGTGAATGTTCTCATTAATCTCAGCATTAACTTCCACGGTTTTTGTAACAAACACAGGACAGTGATAACCTGCTCACCTAAGCAGTACTTGCCCAGCCATACCCCCAGGTGCCAGCTGGATCCCTGCTGACAGTCTATTTTTCTGACAGATGAAGCAAAGATCCATACTCCTCTTGACACTATCCCCTGTGCCGCTATCCTGCTATTTTGTTCTCATACAATTATCCTCTTACTCTTCTTTCTGGATCTTTCAAAGGAAAGAAGTAAATAATAGCCAGTGTGTTTTTCTTAGCCCTAATCTGACTGCAGTGGTCAAACCCTTCTCAATTTTCTCTTTCAACCTGAAAGTTTCAGAATTTTTCTTTCTCAGAAAATATTCTCCTATCACTAAATTTCAGCAGATATCTGCAAAATTCCAGTTATGCTGTCTTTGGTGTCCGTTGCTTCGGTCTCCAGCCTGTCGATTTCTCTGGCCTGAGTGGGTAAAATCAGCTTCAACTGTTTTTATATTCATGGAGCTAATGTCTTCCCCTGAGGATGTGAACCTAGAGAAGGAAACCACAGCTGCTGCCAGTGAACAGCAGTGTTTCATAAAACAAATTCTCTTTCCCGTTCAACAGAGCACCACCACTGCTGGTTTTAGAGAGCTGAATGTCTCCATGACTGCTTAAGGAGCATGGCTGACTCTTTAGGTATCACAGTGAAAGTGTTAGAAGTCAACTATTACCAGACATTCTGTAGGCTCTCATGCCCGATAGTTCTACCATTTCCATTTGTGAATGAAAATTTATAAAAATTTGGTACCAGTTAAATATCTGAGACAAGCTCCATAAGTGATGGTGACTTTGTGTAAACCTGGTATCGCACTACTTTTGAATGTACGGATGATATATAAAACATTCAAGCAATAAGAAACTTTTGCTTTGGGGGAAAGATCCTGAAGTATTTAAATTGCGTGGGAGGGAGATTTTCTGCTTAGCTAATGCTGTTTGTCAAGTTCTGTTGTCAGGAGCTTCACTCAAAATGTGATTATCAAACTAAAATCAAGTTGTAGAAAAGTTTCTGTGGATTTAACAAAGAAGTGATAGAATTCTTTGTGTCTGAAACCAATCAAACACGCCTGTAGGTGCTCCAAAGGGTGCTTTTGAGAATTTTGCAAATCTCCTACAAAATGATCAATTTGTCTTTAATCAGAATCTTTTGCCTGCCTCTCCCTTTCTCCTGGAACAAACTGCCAAATAAATTTTGCGTGCTTTCATGTTTCAGCACAAGACTAGAAATATTTCTGGAAGATAAATTTTAACCATTGCAAATTGTCTTAATAAGGGATACTCGGGGAAGTTCAGTGATTGGGGTGAAACTGTGGTCCCTTCTAGCTTTCTGACATGAGAAACTGTAATCCATGTTGATAGGCACTTAAAAGAGAAAGATCAGTCTCGTATCTTGTGATAACTGTGTTTCTTGGTCACATGGATTTCATGGTCCATTTTCCTTTGTCATTTTGAGACACTTTGTATTGTCAAAGTTAACTAAGGGATGGTTGAATTTATTCTATCCTGTTTGTTTTCAAATGGAGAAGGATAAAGGCACAGATGTGACACCCATAAAATACATACTCGGGGAGCAGAGAAAAAAGTCTAAATGGGAATCACGCGAGCGATGCAATCTGAAGTGCTAGTTATCGTAAGCTAAGTATTTTTTCATCTGTTTCTTTGACCTTGGAGGATAAGGCTAGCTTGCTGTGAGTTTTTTCTGCAAATATGGTTTTTGGATCTTAAATTACCTGTTACGAAAATGCCACAGAGATTTCACAAGACCCAGCAAATAGGTATCCTGTCAGAGTGGGTGCATTTTACATCATGAAGAGATACTATGGTACGAGAGACTGCAATGTTCTGTGCTCTGCACTAGACACTTCTTGAGGATAAACAGGACAATTTTAGGCTAATTATTAGCATGCTGTATGTTAAACCAAGGAGTGTTTATTCCATGTAATGGGAGTTTACACCTATTTAGATGTTAGCGTTAACACTTTTTGCAACAAGTATTTTTTTCGTTCTTTTTTACAGATTTTAAAGATTTTTCAGGAAAAGACAACATCTGCTACTTTTCTCTTCTAAAGTTCCCCTGCATTTCAATAGAGAAATGGGCTTTTATAATTATCAAGAGAGTCCTAGGAAGAACTTTGAAAACATGCTAACTAGGCCAGAAATCTTACAGTACTTGGGAGCTCTTCTCAGTGCTAGGGGCAACAATGACCTTGCTTATCTATTTGAAGTTTAATGCTTGATTATGTAAACTGTCTTTAGAGCTTAACCAATTTAGCGCTGCAGCATTCACAAATGTTACGCACAGTGAATGATAAAGCGAGCATTGAAGCACTAATCTGGCTAAGCACTAAGCTGGTTTACTTATGTGAGCATTAAAAAAAAAATTGAGAATTTGTCAGACTTAACAGCTGCTTTTGGTTCCCACTGCCCAGAGGAGATGCAGGCTTCACAGTTCCCTAGGTATCTGATTGCCTCATGCAGGTTTTCCTATCCTTCAGAGCTCTTAAAACCCAGAGGTGTCTAACATTTTCCCATTTCACTCTTTGAAGATGAGAATTTCAGTATAATGAAACTATAAAAGTGGAATCTGATAGTCCAGTTTAGGAAGTACAGAAGCTTCTCTGAGCTGAGATTAGTCCTTAACTGTGTCAAGTTCTTTGATATTTTATACCATAAGAACAAAAGCTAAGCACTGCATTGCTTCATCTTACAAGGGCGTGAAAATTAAGCAATGAAAAAGTGTTGAACCTTAAATGAATTGAGTATTCATAAATGGATTCTTTACTTGTAACACAGTTAACAGAGAGAGACTTTCCTACAGTATCTCAATTTGAAAAAAACTTTTCTTCAGAATTGGCTTCTGCCTTAGTGTTTACAAACGTTAGAGTTGGTGTACATATGTGCAAGTTATAAAGTATCAAGTATAAAGATTTTTTGTGCTCCGTCACAAATTTTAAGGGATGGGCATTACTTTCCATGCAGTTGTTCCCATCAGAAAGCAACCAGAACGGAAAACATAAAATATAGTTTTTCTTGCGTCACAGTGTCTCCCTGGGTTCGTATCAAAACCATCAAAAATGGGAGGCAAGAGGCAGCCTCCCGTTTTTGATGAAGAAAGTTGCAGTGTGTTGAACAGCACCTATAGTTGTAGAAGATAAATAAGATAAACCAAAAGGGCTTAGCAGTTTATGCACTCATAGCGGGATGATGGCAGGAGATAATCCAGGCAGGAGCATGGAGAGGCAAAGCTGAAGGAAGGGATAGCTCGGGGGGCAGAGTGGGGATGAATATTTAAACCAGTGGCAAGACACAGGTCTAAGGTGTAGGGGCTGGTGGGCACGTAAATGGTCTCTATAAATTTGAAAATGAATGAAAGAATCTTTGAAACTCATTAGCATTCTGTGAGTAATTCTACTTGAATAGTGACTTGTATATATTTGAGAATATGCTCTGACAGCATGCTAGTCTGTACTACTACAGGGTAACTGACATATAAACAACTACTCACAGTGAAATTAAAAAGGCAATAAAACATTTTAAAGTGGGACAATAAAATATTTCACTCCTAGATTTGATCAACTGATTTTATAGGCAGATTTATGAAAATTTATTCATCTCTTCTCATGGTATCATTATAAGTCATATGTAATTGTCAGCTTTAATACCACAGATACATTTGTGCCTTGAGATGTTTAGATTTAATTTTAAGTCCAAATTTCCTGCTTCTTTTTGTGATAGGAGTTTTGGGATATATAACAATTTTTGTGTGAGTTTATTATATTGAGGTATTCTCAATTTTTAATATGTCAATTAAATTTTTTGGCTGGCAAAATA